TTTTTTTTTGGTGGAATGAGTTGGAATGCCATGTCATTTACTTTTGCCAACCTGCCAATTTTTATGTTTCTTCCGTCAATTAATGTGAAAATATTAACGGAAAGATCAAATTGGGATTAAAATCGTAAACAGTAGGGATTAAATCAAGGATTTTTTTTAGTTTAGAGACTAAATTGGGGGTTTGTACAATAGTTTAAAGACCAAAATGGGGTTTTAACTTTTTCTTTTTCATTATTCTCTTAAAAGAGTCAATCTCTTTGCAAAGAGATAGGTTCTCTTAATTTTGTTTTTTCTAGAAAAGGGCAGAAAAAAAAAAAAAAAAAAACAGCATTGTCATACACTAGCTGACAGCATGTTAGTGTTGCACTATTGATACATTAATTGTAAGATAATTTTTGATTGGTTACTCATCTATAAAATATGGGTACTGCATTGTTGATACAACGATAGTATGTTAAAAGTAAATAATTTATTGTTTGAATTGAATAAGATAATTTTAGTCTATTTTTTTGAGAAATCTTTGTTGAAGTATATGTGTTGAAGGGGTAATGTTATGTTAAATGTTTAATAAAAAAATATATTTTTATAAAAAAATATTAATTATAATAATATAACACTAAAATAAATTTTTTCATTATTATTCATTATACATACTTTAAAATGAGTGTAATTTTTGGGTCTCTTTTCAATAATAGTCACCAACTTATTTGATAATAACATATGTTAATTTAAGTAAAATGAATTTAATTTTTCTTAAATAAGATTTTGACTTCAAATTTTATAAATAAAAAAATAAATATTAAAAAAAATTCTTTTTACAAGATTTAACGCAATTCGATTTTAAACTAACCGATAACTCAATATTATTACTTGTATCGGGAGGTTAGTAAAAAAATACTCATTCGAAAAGGTTACCTTATTTCTTAAACCGATTAGACGTGTGAGAGATTTGATGTAAAATGACTACTCCACGTTATAGCTCAACAACGTTAAAGTCTTCAAAGACATTGGGTTATGGTAATTGGTAGCGTTACAGTCCAGCCAATACGATTCCCTTGGTTCAGCTGCTTGGAGGCTGGTGGCTGGTAGCTGCAGCTACACCTCCAGCCTCCTCCTAACTGGGTACAGACGACGTAAAATATCCGCTGGACAAAATGAAATTACCACTTCGAACCGGCGTTAAACGGGAGGTAATGGTCCCCTCCGCACAAATCAGAGAGGACAGATAATGCATTTCCTTATTTTGCTAATCCTTTTGAAGCCTTTCCTTGAGTAGGCAATTATCTTTCCATTTTCGGAAAGGGGTTGGATTCCATCTTCCCCTCCCTTCTTCCCTTTCATCTTTCCCTTCCATATCCTTTCCATTTCGGAGCAAGAAGAAAATTTAAGCTCACCAACCGTCCCGGTCGTCCGATCGGAATGGCTAGAGGAAAGATCCAGATCAAGCTCATCGAAAACTCCACTAACCGGCAGGTTACCTATTCCAAGCGCCGGAGCGGTCTGTTCAAGAAGGCCAGCGAGCTCACCGTTCTCTGCGATGCCAAGGTTTCGATTATAATGATTTCCAGCACCGGGAAGCTCCATGAGTACATCAGTCCCGCCATCACGTAGGAAATTAAACCCTAGATTTCTTGTTGGGTTATTCAAGAGTAGTAATGTTTGGATTTCGTCTCTGTTGTTTTGAATCTTGTGCGCAGGACCAAGGATTTCTTCGATCAGTATCGGAGGACGACGGGGATTGATCTTTGGAGCACTCACTATAAGGCATCTTTCCGTTTTAGTTTTATTTATTTATTTATTTTTTTACTACTTTTAGAGCTTAATTAACACAGAGTTGTTGGTGCAGGCTATGCAGGAGCAACTGAAGAAAGTGAAAGAGGTGAACAGGAAGCTGCGGAGGGAAATAGGGTAAGGGAAATTAGGTGTTTGTGTATTGAATTCGTTTGGTTTGATATAGCAGATCGATGCAAAATCTTAAAATTTTAATTGAAATGGATTGATACACAGGCAGAGGATGGGTGAAAGCTTGAATGATCAGAGCTTAAAGGATCTTCATTCTCTGATGCAAGATATGGAGGATTCTCTGAAGCTTATTCATGATCGAAAGGTATTTAGGGTTCTTAAAGATTCAATTTTTATCATAAACCTGAGCTAGCTACCATAATTATTCCGAGCTAAATCTAAAAATGGTTAAATTAATTTGACATTGGAACAATGGGATGCATGCCTCTTGATGATAAAGAAACCATTTTTTGCATAGTGTTTGTGATAATTTTTCTAGTAGGCTTCTTTAATCAAAAATGATTTTAAAGCATTAACATGCTTAATGATGCAGGTCCAGCTAACTTCAATGAAGGTTAAAAAGACTAATGCAAATTTTTTATTCCATGTTTTTGAGTCAAACATGTATTAAAATTAGTACTTGTCTTATAAATAAATGTATAATATTTCATAGGGTCGGGATTAATATATATATATATATGTATGTACTATTCTCTATATATAATATGGATAATGATATGTGCATACTTAGATCCCACACCCAGATCCGGGTGTGCACCAATCATGATCCATATAATATATATACAAGTTTTCAACTTTGAGGTTTAGAAGATCATTTGTAGTGTTTCTGGTGAATTTCTTTTTCTTGGCCAATATACACAAATTGTGAATCTCATTGCTGCTGATTTTATTTATTTTTCATTGTAACAGATTAAGGTGATCAGCAATCAGACTGAAACTCTCAAGAAAAAAGTATGATCCGGCTACCCACACCCCTTTACGGTTCATGACAAACAAAATTACATTATTTTCCTTTTTAATTGCCTGTTGCAGGTGAGGAATCTGGAAGACATACAAAAAAAACTCTTACATGAAATTGTAAGCACTTGTTATTATAGCTTATGCTATTAGCATTTTTCTTTAAATAGTTAAATTCCTTGACACTATAATAAAAGGATAATTACAGCAATTACTTTGTTAATTTGACACACACGCAGGAAGTAAGAGAAGATGATCCTCAATATGGGTTAGTTGATAATGGAGGAGACTATGATATTATTGGCTACCATGACGTGGGTCCTCGCGCATTTGCTTTGCGTTTGCAGCCAAACCAACACCAACAGAGTATTCACAGCGGAGCAGGATCAGACCTGACAACATATCCATTGCTTTAGTAGTGCATGCTAATTTGACCTTCTGGTTTCATCACTGCCTTTCCTACTTCTGGAGAACTTGCATTCCTATTAGTTTCTTTCTTAATTATGATTAATGAATGCTATGGTTATGTCCGATGGGATTTTAATACATTATATATTGATTTTTTTTTTATTAATCTCATGATATCTGATAACCACATTGAATCTTAACAATCCAAGATCAATCCACATCGAATCCTTTAGCGCATATTTCTTTATTTACAAAACTCGAACTTGAAATCTTATTTAAAAAAAATCAAACTCTTTTCACTTGAACTAACAGTAACATGCCATTGGTTATATATTGGTTTATATTTATAGGGCAAATGAGTAAATTGCCTTTAAAATTATTGTACAGAAAGAAATCACCACTTAAAAGGAAATTGATGCAATTTATCACCTTAAATTTCTATTTTTAAGAAATTGATTCAAATTTAATAATTGTTATTAAATTTTGTTAAATTATTACTTTTAAAATTTAACAAAAAATTAACAGTAATAGTTAAATTTAAGTTAATTTCTTGAAAATGGATATTTAGAGTAACAAGATATATCAACATTTTTTTATTGTGATTTACTTTAATACAATAATTTTAGAAAGAAGCCGCACCTTTTACCCTTATCTATATGGTCATATTTTATACAAATACTATACATATTCGGTATGGCCGGTTCATCAAAGTAGGTTTAATTAATTCAAGTAGGTTTTTTTTTTTTTTTTGGCAGAATTCAAATAGGTTTAATTAATTCAAGTAATGACTCTTTATGGTGACACAAGTTCGCAGGTGTTTTTTCTTCAGATTAGAATGAGCGAAAGAGCACCTTACCTAACATGCCATTTTTAATTAAATATCAATTTCTATTGATGGAAATAATATAAATTTCTTCCCTGTCAACGTAGCTGTGATCTTTGCCCCCACATTTTTATTTTTATTTTATTTTAAAATGTTTGAAACTCAACTTTGATCATATTAAAATTTCACCTAAAAATCTCTAGATTTGGGGGAAAAAAATTTCGACTTTTTGTTTTTGCACCTCTAATAATAAATTATACAATAAGAAATAATTTTCTCTTTCTAAAACCTCTTCTTTTATTTCAAAAGGCTAAAGGGTCTATTTGTATACTACACATTTTTTCTTTTTTATGGTCAATACCTTAAAATAATTTTTGTTCTAGTCAATATCTTTTACTATTCAAAATATGTGAAAAACTCAAAATTAATGGTCAAACTCTCTATTTGCACCTTGAATTTATCATCAAATTCCCTATTTAAAGAATGACTTTGTTAGTAATTTGAGATTTTTATGAGTTTTAAATTATAGAGAGTGTTAATTAGGATGAAAATTATTTTAAACTATTGACCATGAGAGGAAAAAGTGTGTAAGGTGTAAATAGGGAGTTCAATCGTTTCAAAATTCAAATTATAATCAAAATCTTTAATATAAAAACTTAAACTCTTACAATATATTTAAGTTGAAAAAAATATAAAAAGAGAGAGAGAAAGGAGAGTAGAGTTTTTTTAATTAATCAAATTATAATATTTTAAAAATAATATAATTTAATTTATTAAAGTTTTTTTCTCTCCTCTCCTTTACATTTCCCTTAACACAATCATATAGTTAACCACTAAAGCATTTTTAGGCTTGAGCCCTCTACTAGCTGACACCTTAGAAAACCCAAATTATAAATATCCTAACCAAAATATATAAAATAAAAAACTAGACATCATTTTTTTTTCTAAAACATTAGAAGTGAGATTTTAACTCTACAACTCTAAATTTAGTATGAAAAATTTTTTGCAAAACAAAATAATCATTAGGTGACAAAGACATTCTCAAACAACATAAGAAATTACAAAGGAATGAAGAATTTTTTCAAATAATTTGTAAAAATTAAACTTCTAATTAATTAAATTCAAATATTAAAATTTGAGAATGAATCATTAGATTTAAAAATCTAATTTATACATAGGTTGTTTCTTAATAGTATCTGAAACTTGAATTACGATAAATAAAAAAGAATAAAAGATTATGATTCCATAAATAAATTGATATGGGAAAAAAAAAACTAAATTCGGAATAAATAAATCAAAAAAAAAAAAAAAAAAAACCGAAAAACTTAAATTAGACGACCTAGGTCCGGCCCGTGCCATGATGCCATCCCTGCCTCTAAGTCCGTGACTAGACTGCTCCTCGTCGTCCACTCCCCGGTCAAAGTACGCCGTCCCACCACGACCGACAAGTACGATTCCCACCAACTAATAAATTACCGGCGAAAACGAGGGGTAAAATCAATTTTCCTTTCTCTTTCATTCATCGCACGTGCCCCAATCCGCTTGCCAATTTCACACAAATCTCATCACTTCTCCGGTCACCTGAGCAAAAGCTATCAAATCCCACGTTCGACAGTAACCTCTCCCTAAACCCCACCGCCTGTTTCTGCTCTATTAGTTTTCCTCTAAAAAACTAAAACCTCACCTGTTTTCTTCAATGCAATTTCAATGTTTCACTCTCCCGGAACAAATAGCAAAATTTCAGTGGAGAATTCGTGATAGGAGAAACAGCGGGTGGAAAGCAGGCTTCTTTAGTGTTTTTGCTCAGCTTCGGAGATGGGAGCGTTAGCTCCAGTCTCCCTTTGGATTCCAGAAGATGACCTTTTGTTGAAGAACGCAATCGAGGTAAAGTTTTGAAACTGTTCGTGTATTTTGAGCTTCTTTGTGTCTCAAGATTGCTTCTTGTTAAGTACCCTTTTCATGAATTGACCCAATTTTGATTTTATTACGTTTCGTTATTTTTTGAATGTCGAATTAGCTTTAGATGGTAGGCTCAGAGGGTAAAATTGGTCTTTGGTTGTAAAAGAAGAACAGAAAACAGAAATATAAAAGTATTTTCATGAATTTTCCCTTTTTAAGTTTTGGCTATGCACTTGCAGAATGCATGTTTACATCTGCCTTGCTGAATCAATGCGGTATATTATGCTGTGATGGGCGATGTTTTAAATCTTGTGGGATTTTTTAAATTTTTTTTTTTTTTTTTTTTTTAACATCAACTATGGTACCTCTCATTTTTAGTGCTAATAATTGCCTTTTGGATAATTAGCATTTTAATTAAGATGCATGTTGAAAAAAGAATCTGACTTGTGTCAAGTTAAATGTTTGTAATATTCATAAGTTATACTGTGATTGTTTTGAGAGGCATGCCATTTGCAAACATTGAATTAAGATGTTGTTAAGAGACGTGATTTTTTAATTTGCATCACTTGCCATATATCCAGAGTGTAGGTAGATTATTTGGATGCCATGTTTAGTAAAGACTTGGATTTGCAGTACGTCTGCTGACTCAGCTTGTCAATTTTGGTAGAGTATAGGCTTGCAGTATTGATTGTTCTTTCTGGCTTCTGCAAATACACAGTTAACCTTAAATGCTAGTAATTTTTTGGAGATTAGTCCACATTCGAATTTAGAACTAAGATTCATGAATATAAAGTACAATTGCCAGTTTAAGAGTTCCAACACTTATGGCTAGCTGCATGCTGGGTTAATATCTAAATATAGTGGTGTGGAGTGTGTGGTTATGTGTGCATTTGAGCATTCCTGTAAATTGACGGAGTTGAAAATACACACTTGTTGAAATGTGTGACATTATGACATTTTTCTAATAATACATTTCAATCAGTTGCTTTAACAGCATAATTTTCTATAATTTTATAGCAATATATCTCAACCATATCAAGATTGAAGTGTAAAAATCATGTACTGAATGTTTAACATTTTTATGATGGTCCATTTGACATCAATGTTATACACGCATTAGACTCTGTTCTCGTGTTACTCTTGATACTCACTTGTTAGAGAGATTTATGTTCTTTCATTTTTAATTTCACCCTAGATTTCATTAAGGCTTTAACAACCTAAATATTCTGAACTCTAGTGTCTCAAAAGGAAACTTTCATAAGAACCATGGCTTTCCCAATTTGTAAGATATAATTCTGGAGGCATCAGGCATGCGACTAGTACATCATGATTCTTCATGTTAAATGGTGACAGTGAATTCACTATAATCCCTTATTCTTAAATTGATCTCCCAACTTTCAATTTCCATTTTTTGTTTATGGTCCTCAAAAGTTTGTTTCTTGAACCTTAATGTTTGTATTTTAATCAATAATCACCCTTTTTGCAGGCTGGTGCCTCCTTAGAATCTCTTGCTAAAGGTGCAGTGCAATTCTCCCGAAAATTCACTGTTCGAGAACTGCAAGATCGGTGGTATTCTCTCCTTTATGATCCAGTTGTTTCTGAGGAGTCTTCATCTCGCATGATTGAGTTTGAGCAGTCCACTTCCACCATTACATCGAAATTCAGTAGAGCAGGAAATTCAAAAGAAAACAAAAGTTTGTCTGGGAAGAGAAAATCTGAGGGTGTCCGTACTTGTTACTATGCTTCACGTAAAAGAATTCGCAATGAGCCCTTTAACTCCTTCCAGCTGGGTTTCCTAATTTCTCCTGGTGATAACAATTATTTTGGAAACAAAGGTGAATCTGGAAGCAGCATGCTAGGAGAAGCAATCTCTGACCATTTGGGATTTCAAGAATCAAATTTGGATATCATGCATTTTCCCTTCCCACAGGTTTTGTCTGATGGTGATGCTGCCACCAGAAATGATGGTACTGCTCATGTTTTTCATACAACAATGCATAACCAAATTAAAGATAATTTTTCAGCTCAGGCAGTTAATATACATGAGGACATGTGTCATATGGTTGGGGAGAACAGTTCTTTTGTTCAGAATGGCCCTGCAATTGGGGAATCATGTCATGTGGAGGACTTGCCTATGCAGAACCTGTTCGAAGCTGATGATTTAGTGATGAAAGCAACATCTACATTTGATCAAATTAACAGTGACCTAGACAATGTTCATGCTGAGTTCGTAGAGAACCAGGTTTTCAATTTACCAATTGCAGAATGCGATGCATCATTCCAAAACTTGGAGTACCCATCCCCACTTCCTGAAATGTCAATCTGGAGAGATGAAGGGCTACCAGCTTCTACACTTGCTATTGATGAGTGCCTTAGGGAAGTAGATCCACATGCAGGAGATAGATGTGTACTTCCTGATGTTGGTGGTGCTAAGAACAATGCATCAGAACATAACATTGGCCACATAGAGTCTCACTTAAACTCAGAGATGCAGTGTGATCAAATTAAAGATCAAACTGCAAGCACAGAAGGTTATCTGGTGGAAATAACCAATGCTCTATTAGATGATGAGCCTTTTTTCATTGATGTCAATGGAAAAGATGCAATAGAGAAGTCTTATTATGATGGTCTAAGCTCACTTTTGTTAACTTCACCAAATGATGGTAATCAAGATCACATTCCTGAAATAACTGAACAGGAGACAACACAAGATAAGCAACCAAACATACCAGGTGCAAGCCATGGGGAATTGGACATCAATGGGAGATCATGTATTGGGGATTGGAATGTAGGTTTCGGTTTAGAGGTCCTGATGGTGACATCTACATTAGATTCAAACAGTCAACAGCCTGAGCTGACTAATGGTGTCCTATGTTGCACATTGAACACTGAGGATCTAGAAATTCCATGCAATGATGATATCATCTCCCAGAGCGAGCTTCCCCTAATTTCAGATCCCACAGTGCGACAGAGTTTCAAAGAAGCTGGCAATCCACTATCTGCATCTGTTAAGCATGCTTCTGGAAGTCAAAATAATGCTAAATCTCAAATAATAGGATCAAAGATGAAACTGGAAAAGGGACTACACCATGTGATTGGTGGCTGCAAGGTTAAACCTGAGGACTCCTCACAGAGAGCATCTAAAGGCGCATCGTCTGCTTGTTGTGATTCGACTAAACTTGATTGCATTAATGGTAGCATAGACACCATTCGACCTTCAATGCTGGAGAATCAGTGCAACGAAAACACACTGCAAAACCATGATAGTTACCCTCAGTCAAATGCTACCTGTGCTAAACAGGAATTTGATGCTCCTACAATGAATCAAGATCACCAAGCCTTGGAAGTGGGGCCCGTGGATATAATTTCTACACAATCTGTATTTGAACCTTCAACAAATTTGGAAGGGTTACCCATTGAAAGCAATGATGATGTACCTTATTTTTCAGATGTGGAGGCAATGGTAAATCTTCAACCTTTATCCATCTTTTCAATTATTTCTTGACTACTTTTATTGATTCTTTTTTATCTAATACTCAGATACTGGATATGGATTTGGATCCGGAAGACAATGATTTATATGATCAGGAAGGTAATAAGTCTATCTTGGATTCATTAGATTTTCATCTCCCATTCTTATTGCCAATATCCTGCTCTGGTAACTTGAACTCTCTGCAGTTGCTAAGTAAATTTATCTCGATCTGTGGTCTCATAGAGATGAGATTGCAGTGTAGTTCTGTCTTTTTCTGCTTCTGTATCTCCCTCCTTTTCTTTTTGTTCAAATATCATCATGACTTAATTGTAAGATATATACTGGAGCTAAAATATATATGCATATTTTAAAGGTTGAGTTTTATTGAATGGAATTGCACTTACCACTTCCTAAAATAAAATATACGCATGTGATGGTTAAATTTACCTTGTCCTATATGTGCAGTTGCTAGGTATCAACATGAGGAAACTAAAAGGGCAATTATAAGGCTGGAGCAAGCTGCCTGTTCCTACATGCATAGGGCCATTGCGTCTCATGGAGCATTTGCTATTTTGTATGGTCGCAATTCAAAACATTATATTAAAAAACGCAAGGTATTCTGATGTTCCTAGATGGTTGAAGTTGGCCACTATCGTCTTTAAGTTCAGTTATTGTTCTGCTTGAAATGTTGTCGTGTGATTTGAGTAATATTTGCAGTAACAAATGCTATGTTTACTCAAGTAAATTTCTTGGTCATGTAGTCTCATGTTTTATTTCATTTGGCCGGCATCCAAGTAGCTTTCCATTATTTTGGCTAATATTTCTTCCGAATATTATGCAGGTCTTACTTGGTAGAGCAACAGAAGATTTTGCTGTTGACATTGACCTGACTAGTGAAGGACGTTCTAATAAAATATCACGGCGACAGGTCAGCTACTGTTAATGCATTTTTCATGGTCCCTTAATCTTGCTCAATATAATGTTTCATCTTTTCATTAAGTATGAGCCTCCTGTGGCACACTTAGGACATAATTTGGGAGCAGAACTCTACTTTTTCCCTTGGGACATTCTTAGTCTTCTTTTTTGGAACCTTTCATATGTGCAGGCAATGATAAATATGGAGAAAGATGGATCTTTCCATCTGAAAAATCTTGGCAAATGTTCATTGTCAGTAAACAGTGAAGAAATAGCGCCAGGACAGAGTTCAAGCCTTAGTTCCAGTTGTTTGATCGAGGTTTGTTTCCTAGTCTTTATTTTCAAACATGACTGCTCAGATAATTTTCCTAGATCCCCTTGCATTCACGGACATGCACATGCACACACCTACCTCTAAATTTGCCCATCACCATTGAACATTGACCATTCAGAAATTCATAATTGAGAAACTCATTCTGTCTCTTTTTTGCATCCATTAGAACATAGTTGATGTTTTTGACACATGAATATCTTACCTTAACAATCCTTGGCACATAAATGTCTTTAAATAGAATTACTCTGAAACCACGGATGCTGACTTTGCAGATAAAGGGGATGCCATTCATTTTCGAGATAAACCAAACTTGCGTGAACCAATATTTGGACATTAACGTCACGCATTAGCATGCCATCAGAGATCCAGAACGTGCTCCTTTTTTTCTGCAGTCTCTGGGTTTCTTCTGTGAAAACCATCTTTAGTTCCGAGAAGGGGCATTATTAAATGTCTTCTGATATTACAAGCCAATTTTCCTACGCAGCAGGAAAAGTTTTTTATGTGAAGAAAACGTTGGAATAAAAAATATCAAATGCACCGTAATTGTGTTGTATTTTTCTCAGGAGGTAAGATTTATTTACACATAAGTCTTATATTACGTATTTACATAAAATTTTAATTATTTATCTGTTTATTTTTAATAGTTGAGATTTATTATAATTTTTAGATAAAAAAATAATTATCTTTCATAAATGTTAAGAAATCTCAATTATTAAAAATAGAGAAATAAATAATTGAAATTTTATATAAATATAATATATAAAATTTATGTAAATAAATCTTTATTATTATTTTTTAAATTGATATAATTATAATATTGTATGATATTGTAAGTCTAAAATAGGATTATCTTATATAAATTTTTTTTGTAAGTCTGTATTGTTATACAATTGACTGTTGTTTTTATTTTAAAATTTATTTATGATATTTTATATATTTATTTTTTAAACAGGTATAACTGAGAAATAGAGGATGAAGAATTATAGTATGACAGTGTTATAATTTAATTAAAACATTAAGTGCAATTATAAAGTGACTCATCAAGCCTATGTCCTTATGTTATGTATTTATTTATTTACTAATATATAATATTTTAATAATAATAAATCATAATTATTAAACATTATAATTGTCAACAAAATAAATAATTCAGATAATCTCCAATCAAGTGGGTCCTTTTTTTCACTGAAATCGACCGTTGGTATTACTAATCTAGCTGATGGTCAAAGTCAAAGCCCACTTCCCACCCTATTATAAGAGAGACTCCCCACGACGGCCATTTTCCTACAATCATATCTTTCTTCGTCAATTTCCTCTCTTTAATTCTGATCTTCTGAAGCCAAAAACAGAGGAAAAGAAAAATGTCGAGATACCCTAAAACCCTCTCTGTTTCTCCACATTCTCTACTTTTCATGGTCATCATCATCTTCTTCTTCTTCTTTGAGGTAAATTCAAGAACCCATCCTTCAGATATACTAGTGCTCAAGGTTCTCAAAAGCAGTGTGGACCCCAGTTCCATTGCCCCCGGATCTTGCCTGAGCTCCTGGGACTTCTCATTGGACCCTTGTGACAGCCTCTTCAGTGACCATTTCACCTGCGGCTTCCGGTGCGACCGACTCGTCGCTGGTTCATTACGTGTCACCGAGATCACTCTTGACCCGGTGGGTTACACTGGTTCGCTTGCTTCTATATCTTGGAACCTCCCTTATTTAGAAACATTGGATATCTCTGATAACTCGTTCTCCGGTTCAATCCCTGGCTCATTGTCCAATTTAACTCGCCTCCGTCTACTCAGCCTCTCTAAGAATTCATTTTCAGCTGAAGTCCCCCTGTTTCTTGGATTGCTCTCTCGGCTTGAAGAGCTATACCTCGACAACAACCATCTCAACGGGCCAATTCCGGCGAGCTTCGACAACATGACAAGCTTGAAACGACTTGAAATTCAACAAAACGGCATCTCTGGTGAGCTTCCCAATCTGGGTTCGCTCAAAAACCTGTATTTTCTCGATGCAAGTGACAACAATATCTCCGGTGGCGTCCCGGCGACGCTGCCACCGTCTCTGGTGGAGCTCTCTATTCGAAACAATAATTTAAGAGGAAATCTTCCGGATGATCTAAACGCCATGCCGTTGCTACAGGTTCTGGATCTTAGTCACAACAAGCTATCCGGTACCGTTTCATCCGTTCTCTTCAACCACCCATCTCTACAACAACTCACTCTGTCCCGCAACTACTTCAATTCCCTTCAAGTCCCCGGTGACGGCGGTGCGAGCAGTAGACTAATAGCTCTGGATCTGAGCTACAACGATCTTCGGGGATTTCTACCGGCATTCATGGCTTCAATGCCGAAGCTCTCTGCTCTGACCCTGGAGCATAACAAATTCACGGGGATGATCCCGGTGCAGTATGCTCTGAGAGCCGCCATCCCGGTGAACAACATTTCGCCGTTCGAGAGACTGTTGCTGGGTGGAAACTATCTGTTCGGGCCGATTCCGGATCCTCTGACGGGTCTGAAACCGGGTTCAGTTGACGTCAGCTTGGTGGACAATTGCCTGTCCCGATGCCCTGACACTTTCTTCTTCTGCCAGGGCAGAGATCAGAAATCGATAATGGATTGCAAGAGCTTTGCGCCCGTAATTCCTTAGAATTACACACAAATTTACATCCAATTGTATCATATTCTTAAAAATAGAATGTTGAAGAATTCATACTGTGTTTTTTTTTTTTTTTTTAAATTAAGTATTAGTATCCATTGTTATTAGAAAGACTCAAATCTTAAAATTGAGTGCATCTAACGTTAACCAAGACTGCGCCACATGGAAATTGCAATTCATTATGTGTTTTTAATGTTCATTTTGCTTCTAGTTCTTTACCATAAAAGATTTTTTTCTTGGGACATAAAAGAAGTGAGATTATTAGTATGGTTTTTGCATCAATTTTTGAGAAATCTAGCTTCTTCATGTAATAAAACAGAACGACTTAATTTAACAAATAGTTTAGTTATTTTTATGTTTTTTTTTTGGTCTATTATTCTTGGATTACTTTTAAATTCATCTACTATCATTGAAATTCATTTTAATTTGGTATAATCCATTAGCTTTCTAATAATCTAATGATAATTTTACTCTATTAAGACAAATTGAATGTTATGATTGATGCTTTTCCTTTATGTAATATAAGAGTTTATGTCTCTTTGAATTTGATTCTTTAGAGAAAGATAAAGTTCTCTTCACTATTAAAAAGGTTTGAGACTTTTTCACATATTACTTCAATTTTTCTTTTTAAAGATTATTTTTTATGATGGAAACCATAATTTTAATGAAAGTTTAATACGATTGACTATTTTAAAATTTTTCATAAAGTTTATAAATTATTTAGAAAAAAAAAAACATTTTGGATTCAAATGAAATTCAATTGATGGTTAATGGACCAATAAGTGATTAAGCCTCATGAAATTGTGTTAGTGAGTAGAATGGGTTAGTCTTTTAAATGGAAATTTCTAACAACTGCGCAGGCATATGTTAATGGTGCATTCACCATTAATTTGTATATAAATCTAAAAGTTAATTCTAATTTTATAAACCATTTAATTAAAATACTTTATCTAACATTAGTGTTAAAAAAAAAGTTAATTTTAAAAACTTTAAAAAAAAATAAAGAAAAAAAAATATAATAAATGCACTCTTAAAATGTATAAAATAAGTTAGAACAAACCTAAGTAAATTTATGAAGCATCGTAGCTAGATTTAAATTCATCATGATTTAATTTTTTATATTCTTATTGAATTTGAAACTTAAGGAATCATTTAAGCTCAATCTATTAGATATGGAGTAAAGGTGTAAAAAAGATGTCAACTTTACAAATTTTTTTATTTAAAAATGTTAACTTTATTAATTTTTAAATAAAAATGTCAACTTTTAACTTTTTCTATTTAAAGATATTAATTTTAAACTTTTTCTATTTAAAGGTTAATTGAATAATGATACTAATATGATAAATAAATTTTTTAATCAAAATGTTGAAAATTAAGATTCTTAAACAGAAAAAATTAAAAGTTAACATCCTCAAATAAAAAATATTAAAAATTAATATTCTTATTTAAAAATTAATAAAATTAATATTCTTAACTAAAAAAATTATAAAGTTAACATCCTCAAATAAAAAAT